GGTGTGCGCACTGCATTATGGGATCTACAGTGGCGCCAAACAAATCCTGACCGACATTTCATTTTAGTTGTGCAAAACAATTAGCCAATATTTTAAAAGCCTAATTGGTTTTTAATCAGATAAAGGCACATTTAGAGCGGCTAAATGTCAATGAGGTTTCGATTTGACAGAACAACTCTAAACCAGATTAATCTTTTTTGCCTCGGATGATTCATGGTATTTTTTCATAATGGTTTATTTTTAATGGCTCTGGTCTCAAGAAAAGCTTTTAATCTTTTTTTTTGTGATCGTTAGAAATGAATAAACAGCAATTTACTGACCTCTGAACTTTAGAAAACTACTTTCCAGAAAGCAATTTATAAAAACACCACATTTTCAAGAGCCAAAGCTCATTATAGGCCAATTGATTTTCATGACCTTTACAAACGTTTGTGATTAATGGATAAGGATTTGAAGCAGTGTTAATTTTGACAGCAAATTTTGATTTAGTTTTAGTCATAGTCTTTTGACTAAAATGCCATTTAGTTTTAATCATATTTTAGTCATCTTGAATTGTTTTTAGTTTTAGTCTAGTTTTAGTAAAACTAAATCTACAGTAAAGTTAGTCGGCTAAAATAGAATGGGTTTAGTTACAGTGCATTTATGAAGCATTTCTCTAAAATTTCCAAACTCATTATATAGGCTAGGTTTGATATTAAGGTTTTAGCATGATAGACACCAATTTAACTGCGTGACACACAACATGCCTTCATGTTAAAATTAAATAAAACCTCTTCTCATAAAGAACAAGAACATGGTATTATTTTTAATGAAATACCAATGGTTATATAGGCTAATTATGCATTCTTTATAGCAAATTGTTTACCATATTCTTCATTCTTTCAAACAGACATATTTATTTCTATAAATAAATTTAGATTAATCTTTAGGGCTACTAAAGTTTTTCAGTCAAGAGCAGTGCGTGATTTTCTGTCTTTCTTTTGTTGCTTGATTAACACCAATGACTCGGACAATAGCAACTAAACTGCTGTCCCTTTAAAACCGAATGCACAGCTGCAAAGGATGCAATGTACTGATACACGTTCTCCCTACTGTTTACGTTTACTTAAGACGTAATCAACTGTGTTTACGTGAATAATCGTCAAAACGGACAATTCAACATCATTTTGTGTGTAATTCTCC